GCTGAGTCAGCCTCTTCTTCCTCTTGGTTCTCTGGCCTTTGCTATGACAGAAGCTGCACTTTTTCTCCATCTATGACTTCTTATCCTTCTTGTCTGAATTGCAATGTGACCCAAGCTGCTCTTGCCCACATCTGGGTTTGTATTGGCTGCCATAAGAGCCAGCTGTTCTCAAGTCCTGCAACAGATCTTCAGTGTTTAAAAACGCATGGGTTCATGTACTTGATCTAGATGCTTCTGTCGATCAAGTGGGATAAGCAATAACAACATATTTTCAGTTAATAACATTTAGCATACTATCACTGCCATTAAAGGCCTATCAGCTCTGATGCAGTCCTCACCAAGTTATCGTGGTGTTGAGGATCAGAGAATGAGGTGTAAGTAAAGGTGTTACCATCGTCACTTTATTGAAGTTATTTACCAATAGCTCTCGTATATTGCATCAGAATGTGAGGTCAATAATATTTAAATAAATCAATTGGTTCATTTTCGCTAAAATACGTAAAACATTATTTACATTGGAATCCAACAAAAAATGAGTACGTTGTAATCATTAAGATTATTAACAGTAGGTGGTGTTTGTTTTTAGATATTTTAGAGTAATAATATTTATCCTTTTCTAACAAATATGAAATAAGAACACTTTTATTATAACGTTTTTATAAACAAACTCTTTAAAACTAGTCGATAAGACCTATGCTAATCTTCTTATAGAAAACTGAGGGTTTAAATACCACATCTGACAGCAGGTGTACTGATTAAGTTGTTTCTTTTGTTCATAAAAATCGCGAAATTTCAATACAATTAGGTAACAATGAAGTAAAATTTCCTTGACAATCATTTGATTCCATAATATTTTAGAAAACAGATGACAAATTTTATTAGCGTTTTGCTTTATACATTATAACAACGAAAAAAAAATATATTCAAATTTATCAGAGTTTCTAATTTATAACCTTAAATGTTATGGCTAATATTTTGAACTGAAATTATGTTCATTTTAATATGTATGTTTTACATCTCCATGTTGCTAAATTTTATTTACGTTTCTCAACGTGATTTTTATTTCAATTATCTTAATAATTCTTAATCTCTTTTAAATTACACCACGCCCGAGCTCATACTTCACTTTGCAAACTCAGTTCAATTTTGTGTGAAGCACCCCCCATCTCATATTTTCTGTTGTAACGTCTTCCGACCCTACCGTTAAAAGATCGGCTTTCTAATACTGATAGAATGGTACAGTTCACATCCACACATTGCACCCCTAAATAATGCGGGGTCTTTTCATCTGACATCCACATGAGAATCGAAAGAAAGACATCACTCCGTCCATATGCTGGAAATTCCGGCTAAAATTCGAGTTGTGGGGAAGAGCCGTCCCACCTCGAGGAAATGGGGAAGACACTCTGCATGAAAACACTAAGAAGTTCGGTTGTGTTGGACTCTTCCCTCTCAAAGGAAATTTTCTGTAGAATTAACATAATTAATATTATGAATAACTTCTATTTAAATGTATATATATTTTAACTAAACTGCTGTGACGTAACTGTCACTCATTGTAATATGGTATGATTCACAAATAAATCAAATATTTAATTTCTTAACTCTCACACTACCGTCCCAAATTTCTCAAACAATACACTGTGTAAAATTCTTTGAAAATAATTAAACTTACAACAAAACAAAAGACACGCCATGAACAAACTCTCAATTATGACTTCCTCGGCTACTGTGATACATTTTTCAATCCGTACTATTATAGTTCACTCTCCCCCTATATATGTTATCCCCCTGTATATATTAGGTTGGGGGAAAATAAATCCATTATTTCTGCATGAAATTCAAAACTTTATTTAACATGTTTCATATTGTCCGATTTGGGTCAAATATATACGATTTTGTTGCATAATTTGTTGCCATTTTAAAAGTAGCTTCATATTGCCTCTTTCATAGAAGTCTTGGCCTTTATTGGCGAAAGAGAGTAATCAATTTTCCCAATCTTCTCATCATCCCAATTTCTTATCACTCTAGAAGTTTTGCAATGCAAGAAAAAGGTAGTAATCGTTTGGTGCCAGGTCCGGACTATCTGGTGGATGCATTAAAACTTTCCAATCAAGCTCCCAGTGTTTCTGGCGAGACGTGAGTGGACTGGCGTTGTCTTGATGGAACACAACATCTCTTCTGTTGACCAATTCTGGCCGTTTCTAGTCAGTCACTAACTTCAAACAGTCCAGTTGTAGACAGTAGATATATGAACTTAGTGTTTGGCCCTATGGAAGCAACTCATAATAAATTATTCCTTTCTAGTCCCGCCAAATACACAGTAGAACCTTCCTGGATGCTAGTCCGGGTTTGGCCAACTTTTGAGCTGCTTCACCGCACTTTGACCACGATCGTTTTCACACAATATTGTCGTATGTGACCCATTTCTCATCCCCAGTCACCATCCACTTAAGAAATGGGTTGATTTCATTCCATTTGGCCACAGGGCTTCGCAGATAAAAATTCAAACCATCATTTTTTCTGATGTTATTTGGTGTGGCACCCAAACATCAAGCTTCTTCTTGAATCCATTCAGCTTTGCTCTAATGGCTTAAAACTGTTTCATAGTCCATATTTAGCTCCTCGGGCGATGCTACGACTACTAATATGCCAGCAACTTCGATTATTTCTGTGGTTTTGTTGACATATTTGATGACGAGCGTGCAACTTTAACATCAAAAATGCCTGAGCGGAATCAACGAAACCAAAAATTGTATGGCATTAGCTGTTAAAGTATCGACATCATAAACACCATACAGAATTTCAGCCACCTGGCTTGCATTTTCGCCTTTATCAAAGAAAAACTGTAAAAAGTACCGAATTCTCTCTTTGTTGACTTCCATGTTTTACACCCTGTAACTCACAATTGAATGGAACATACAAAAAAATCAAAATTTTTTTGAGTGTAAAATGTTACCTTGACAACGAGCATAAATTTGAAATTGTTTGATCGATACTACAGCCATCTACCGAAAAAATAATGGGTTTCTTTTCCTCCAACCTAATATATATATATATATATATATATATATATATATATTGCAATATTTGTAATTATATTTATAATGGTTTTTAATGATACAATTTGTATTACTGTAATTATTTACTGTCATTATGTTCTTGTAAGGATTTTTTTAAATAATTCTAGAATTTCTAATTCATTCTACAATTATTAAATCGATGGCGCCACATGCTTATTAAATTTTAATAATATTTATATATTTTTGCGTTTTATTTAAATTTTTTACACTATTAATTATATGAATATATTTTATGATTTTTAAAATATATATATATATATATATATATATATTTTTATATATATATATATATATATATATATGATTTTTAAAAGCATATATATATATGTCAGGTTTGAAAAGTTTAGGTTCAAAATTAAGGAAGTAATAAATGAAAATAGAGCGAACTCTTTACCATCGCGTAAGGATTTATGAGTAAACAAGCCTGTTAAAAGGAGCAACGAGCGCTGACGAAGGCGAACGCATACTAAGAAAGGACTTGGCTGGTGTCTCCTCTCAGCGATGTTGCATTTGGTAACACCCGGTTGCGCGGCAAAAGGTCCGCCATGTTAGATTATATATGATGACAGCGTAATAAAGGAATATTGTGAAGATGATGCCCTCCTCATTTTACCAGCAGGCCTGGGGCCTGTCATATATATATATATATATATATATATATATATATATATATATATATATATATATATAAATTTCTTAATATCCTATCGTAATTCATTTTATGCGGATCTGTTTTCACTCCCTTGTATTTGGCGGGAAACACATTACTAGTTGATGCACTCCCGACCTACGTCTACACTGCGAATAATATTTGGTTATATATTTTTGTTCATATGTTATTAGTTTAATGATTTTTTAATATTTAAATTCCTCATATGTAATTCTTTCCTTTCCTCTTGATACATAGTATGACAAACTACAGGTGAAGTTTGGCCGGCCCAAAACATGTTTAAACCTGCAATCCTGGTTCCTAAGGCCAGGAGTTTGTCATTATATTACTATGCCTTCTTCCTATTTATAGTTATCTTTGGTTTATAACTATCTGTTTATTTTTATATTTTCATTTATATATTTGTATATATATATATATATATATATATATATATATATATATATATATATATGAAATGCCTCTGCAATAATTCGGTTGAGTGGTAAATATATTGTATGACGTGGCGAGTGGTTGATTAAATAATGGAGAACCAAACGTTGGGAGTGGCCTGTGGTGTGGTTTTCTATGTTACGTGGAGCATGGTCGAGTAGGTAGTATTGAAGAGGCACTCATGGAAATAGAAATTCCTTTTGTATTCACATCCAGAAACACAGAAAGGTCCAGTAGTGACGGCATTACACATACAAGAAGCAAATATGTACGATACAACACAGACAAAGGCACACACAGAACGCGCTGCAGTCGACTACATGACTACAGAGAAACGAGCGAAGAGAGAGAGAGGTTTCCAGAGACATCGGCTTGTATACCTGACGTTAAAGACCATGTGACATTTTTGTAACAAGAGCTCTGATTGGTTACAAGGGGTGGGAAAGGGATTTATGATGTAATATTATTAGTCGATTACGATTAAAATCAGGGTGTTAGTTTCGAACCAAATAATGAAAAGATTATTTTAATATTATTAGAAGAGTTAATTAAAATGAGATGCTATAGGGGGAATTATTATATATATATATATATATATATATATATATATATATATATATATATATATATATATATATATATATATATCTTGTTCAAGTTCAAATACACTTTTTTAAACTTGCAGTGGATGGCGCTGGATGTTAATGAATTATTTTTTTAAAAAAATTGTATTACATTTTTTAAAAAAATGAATAATTAGTAACATACGAAAATAATAGTCCAACACCATATATACAAGAACAATTGTTCGTTGTGTTCCTGTAGCGTAATGGATTGCGCGTTGGATGTCTATTCCAAAGGTCGTGGGTTCGATCCCACCTGAGATGGACTAATTTCTGAGAATGTGATTTCTTTTTTACTATAATATTTTATTAGAATAGTTAAATTTAATGAATGAATAAATGAATAGTAACAAACAAAAAAAGTCTACCATATATAAAATGGAAAACTGTGTGTGTGTGTGTGTGCAAGGAAAGTCACTTTCTATTTTGTCACTTAATATTGCGATTATGTCATACGTATAGACATATTTATATTAAATGTAACTTTAATAAAAAGTAACTAAAATAAAATGTTTCTTTGTTGTTCTAAGTAGGAATTGACTTTTTTTATATTACTTGTTTCGTTTGCAAAAAGGCGAAGTCTTATATTCCATCTGAGGCATTCTTGTTCTGCCCTATAGCTATCCATTATATAAATATATCTTTTCCCATAGAAACATATTTTAGATTTATTTTTCCAAAATAAGATCCCTTCGACAAACTCAGTGCGACATACTAAAAAAAACAATATCACAGCCTCGCTTTCGCCATAGACTGGCTAATTTATCTTTATAATAGTTAACTTAAAGCGTCAACATCTTTTTAACTTATAGTTCTTCTTCAAGAGAGAAAAAAACTCCCAATTTGAAAACAGTGATCAACTACTCTAAGGTAAAAGTCGGAAACATCCATTACCTCTCTGGTTTTCTCGCTCTCCAAAATATAAAAAGCCCCTCTTCTCTTTTCCCAATGGCACTAAGCACTCAATTCTACTGGCGAAAAGTATTAGTACTGAGTATCTGGTATCTTTTTTATTAAAGCTTAAGTCCCGACGTTTTACTGAAGGTGAAGTTTTTGATTTTTTTATATTTCCCAAGCATGTCTGCCTCAATGTTTGGTGGAAAAGTCTATTTATCCACTTGTTTTGTTGTCCTTGACTTTTATTAAACAAAGTATTTCGTATAAAGGACTTTAGTTGCATCCATTGCCTGTTGGAAATGCTTTTCTGTATTATTTATTCCTTTAAAAATTGTCTTCTGAATCATATAAGATTTTAGGGGACTAGAATGGAGAAAATGTTGCTTGATTGTCCTATTGAATGAAATATCTTCACAAGCATTTTTTTTATTTCAAATCTTGAAAAATGCAATTTCTGTATTTCCGTAACATGAAAGAAACATACATTTAATTTTTTTTGTTTAGAAAATGCTAGATTTAATAATCTCAGTGTTACAAAATTGTGTGTTCTATAGCTAATATTTAAAATTTAAATAAAGGAAGGGATTTGTTTTGAAATCGATACGCTAACAAAATATTTCTTACGAGTATTAAAATATTAAATTTACCGATAAAAAAATGCCATTCTTTATTCAATTATATATATATAAGTCGAAAGTCTAACAATAGCCGATATAAAACTTTATTTTCAAAATTTTATTACTGGATATATTTTTAGATAATTTCATTCAATACTCTATATTACAAAGAGTATTATTTCTTTGACTTTTCATCACTTAAGACATGGAAACAGTTTTGCATTTATATTAATAGATAATTTAAGAAAATGCCGCCAAGACGGGAATAGTTAGTGACGCTTTATGCTGTGCCGATTGCTCGGTTTTCGAATCCCGCAGAAGGCGTGGATGTTTGGAAATGTATAATACATGTAAGGTATATGGTAGCACTCTAAATATAAGGCCATCCAAAAGTTCTGTAGAGGGTCTGGAGGAAGATGGGTAGGAGACCCCTGGATCAACCCCAAGGAATTCTCCCTCAGAATGGAGTCGAACAAAACCAAAACGTACCGTCACCAGACGTTATCCATTCGCCATAGAACGATGTATTTCTTTAGCCTCCACCTCACCACCCACTGTCAATCAGGTGGCTTTAGTAACAACATTTTAATATACGTAAGGAAATATTTTGAAACATTCCCCTGTATAGCTGTAATAGGGGACCATACACATTACTCGCCCATTTTTGTTTATTCTGCAACTGGAGTTTCATACCTTCCAACTCCATCGAGTGTTATGAACGATCATGCATGCATATTGCACTTGTTGAATAGTTATATACAATACATACATTGATACAAAACAAATATTAAATTTCATTAGAATCGGGGTCCAGTAGTTCTTGAGATAATTGATCAAGTCTTTTAATTCTCTTGATTTCTTTTACGCCAGTGTATATTATTTTTATTCTAAAGAGAATGAATGTCTTAAAAATAATTTTAACCAGCATTATTTAATAAAAATTGTATGAAAGGGTTTCTAATATGCAAATGAAAGAGTTACGGTAATTAATAGTGAATCAAAGCTTTGCGCAAATTGGACATCTAAGTAATTTCTGCAATGCAGAGTTTAATTTTCATGTTTAAAGCCTCTAGATGGTTTGTTGTGGTTTTAAAGTATCCTTTGGACGGATGTGTGAAGTGGTCAGTTTCATGTCCGGTTAAAAGTAAGGCAGGTAATTATGGTAAGAGTGAAATGCGTGAATATTTCGAAATTGACTGAACATTGAAAAAAAATCAACATTATATAAATGTTGCAAGATGATTGGGCAAGGTCGTAAGCTTTTATCAATTCTCAAAACGCTAAATACAGGCATATCAATAAATTTTAGTCGAACAAGAAGTCTGCTGTTTGGCAATTATATTTAGAACGTTGAGCCATCTCTGGAATTGTATCACAGCAAACTGTGTAGAGAAGGTTTAATGAAAGCGCATTTGTGTCGGAAAATCTTGAGCGTGTGTCATTGTCTTCACTGCGAAACGGGTCGCATTAATAGGTACGTAAAATACCAAGCCTGGAATAAACGCTGAGGAAGCCATGTTATCTTTAATGATGAGTCGAGGTTTAATTTAACATCTGATTTTAAAGGAATTTACACTTGGATGATCAGGAGCGTGATTGGAATGCGGCTGTTTCGATAATACAGGTGCGGTTGTATGCAAAGGAGTAATGGATGATGGACCAACTCCCCAATTGCTTCCAACCGAAAATTAGAAGCATAGTGATTATTCTGCGTTCTTGTTTATGGATGATAATGCCCATTCCCAATAAAGAACTACTTAGTTTTTCGTTCAGCATTCAAGGAATTCATTAAGAGGACTCGTTATTCTTTGAACAATATTTTTCCTTTATGTATTTAAAAATTATATTTTAGCATTTAATGTAATGCTTCTAGTTAAGAAAATGATACGAGTTGAAATTTTTCACGTATTATTTACACAATTTTAAAAATTTAATTTTTTAAAGAAAATTTGGAAAATTTTAAAACTTTACTCCTTTTGTAATTATTAATTTTTACCTGAAATTTTTTGTACTATTCTTAAGGTATCCGACTACGTTCGGAACTGTGATTTTGCAAATGCGTATTGATGGATAATTTTCCTGACATTAAGTGTCACTTAGATTAGAATACATGCATAAAATTGCTTTAAAGACATTTTGACAAAAAAAAATTATTTAAATATAATATTTTGGCAAAAAATTAACTTATAAATTTTTTTTTTCCAAATGTTCTCCTTTTGTGAACAATGCTTCTCTTATAATAATATTTTGCCTGTATATAGCTCAGACCTCTCTACAGAGGCTCAATTAGAATTTTTGAAATATATAACTTAGAAGTGGGTTTATTCATATTTTACGACAGGAGCAATTTTAAGAAAAAAACGCCAATAATTATTTCAGTTGGTGGTAACTCTGAAAATGTGAATTTTTCAAAATTCTAGTTGAGCATCTGAACATATGTCTGAGCTATATACAGACAAAATATTATTATAATAGAACCATTTTTCACAAAAGGAGAACATTTGGAAAAAAGGATTATTCTAAGTTAAATTTTTGCCAAAATATAATATTTAAATAAATGTTTTGTCTAAATGTCCTTAAAACAATTTTATACATGCATTCTAATCTGCGTGGCACTAAATATCATAAAAATTATCCATTTATGCACTTTTTTTAAAAATCACGGTTCCGAAAGTAGTCGGATACCTTTAGGAAATGTTTTCAACTTTAGGGGCTGATTTAATATCTACTGTTACACTTAAGACCTTTTAGATACACACATTTCGAAAAGAAACAAATTACGTTACTAATATGTCTCGGTAATATCTTGCTTTATATAATACACTTTCTTTCATTATAGTTAATATTTCTGTTTTTAAAATAGATTTTTTTTTAGGTCAAAACGCTTTTTTTTTCTAAAAAGGGGCGTGTTTGAATTGCCTAACTGGTAATTACATTTTTCAAATGAAGTTTCACCCAATATCTAATTTTCCGAAATGCAAAAGTGATAGATCAATCGAAAGATAATAAAACAGAGTATATGATTAAATAAAAATGAAAAACGATAATTCAGTCATTTAGGGGGTACCAAGTCACCTTAAGTCCTCAAAATGCGATATTCTTAAAAAGAAATCGACTTATAGCTTTATGCAGGAAAAGCTATTGCACGAAAATTCTTAATCCTACAACTGTATATGTCCTGAAGGGTACATTGCTGGCATTGAGAAAAAAATTCCAAAAACCTTGTTTGATTAGTGCCCGTTTTGAATCTACACACGCATTTTCTGTCTAGAATTCATAAGACTTTTTGTGAATTATGCTTTTTTTCTGAACTATTCTAATCATGTATCGTTGCCCTTTTTATTGTCCATGCTAAAGTTATCATATTTAGAGTTTAATTTCTTTTTCTCAATTTATCTATTCGTATTGATGCTGTAAATTTATCTGGGATTCGTGCAAATATAATTTTGTACATTCAATTAATAACTTAACTCAGTGGTGCGACATCCCATAAGGGACAAGGCCTACTATGCCCAGCTCAGTATACGCGACCTTGGGCCCTGAGGTGCGTGAGCAGATTATTTGGTCAGGTGGCCAGTCTGTCGTGAAAGCACCCAAGCAAGCTTGGTACTTATTTTATCGATCCATTTAAGGGATGAAAGGCTGAGTCAACCTAGGACAGCTGGTGTTTGAACCTCGTACCTGTGGTGTAGAATCGTGATGTACTAACCACTCAGCCACTGGGCTTTGACATTCAATGAATACACTTTT